TTACTTTTCTAATAATGGGCGCGTTGCACGAGAAAGCTAGGCTAGCCAAGCAGAAAGAGCATAGTTTCAAATTCTTAAGGCTCTACTTTCGTAAAAATCTGTTCAACCGTATAGATTTCAATTTTCTCGTGCAACATGCCTAATGGATCCAACGCACTTTTCAATCTGAATTGATATAGTTTACTATCAAAACTTAAATCATTTTAAGATGAAAATGATGCATTATGTTCGAGAGTCATTCTCTTATAACTCTTTTTCACACACGGCTTTCACTTATATATCCCTGTTACAATCAAAGCAAAAAAACTACATCTGTCAATATTTTCCAGATGTTTTTAAGAATTACATGAGTTTGGTGTGAATTTTTGATAGCTGCTCTTCACGTTGAACTTCAGCTTTCTACCCACAAGGCAATCAGACAGTTTGTTTCCGGATGTGAAAAGCATTTATGTTTGCTTTTTATCCAGAAAATGCTTTAAGAGAAAAAATGCTGGAAGGGCTTTAGTAAAGAACAGTTTATTTGTTTAGCTTGATGGTAAAATAAATGAAAATCCATATTATTTTTCAATAAAGAATAGTTCAAGTGGTAATTAAATTTATTTATTTCATTATATATTGTATTTATTCCTATTTAAAATTTTATTCAATTTAGATTCTTATGTAGCATTACTTTCTGAAATAAAACAGACAACATTATCAACCGATTTAGTTGGTGGGATATTTCAATTACAAAATAAAGTAAGTTATCTACAAATAATTCATAGTTAATTTAATATAATACTAACGGACTTTTTATTTTTAGGATGGTTCATTTTCATTTTCAAAAAATTTACAAACATTATTTTCTAATGATGTTAATTTCGAAAAAGTTCAAAGAAGATTAGCTGAACAAGGTTTAAGCTCATTAGGTATCATGCACTTTTTTTGTAGAATCATTGACAAGGGACGGTCCCTAATTGTATCCTCGGTTTTTTCTTGAAACATACATAGTTATCCCGAATTTCTGGTGCTGATCTTTACTTGTATCTCTTGACTTTTAGAGTGAAACTTTAGAAAATCGGCTTACAAGGACCTGTTATAAAATGCAAGATGAAGAGAGTTTGATCTTCTTGTAGAGCATGTCCAGTTCCCTATGTAAAAAAATTTCCGACTTACGGATTGAGTTTTAGTGAGGATGAGGGTCGGCTCATTTTTTCTTTGAAAGGAGATAGATAGTCAAGGCTTATGCTAAATCAAAATCAAAAACTTCTTCAACTGACGAGAGAACCACTCGAGGTTATAAACCGATTTCAGATTGGAACTGTTTTTGTTAGAAAGGCCCTAAAGAGTAGTGAAATACCCCAACATGGTTCATCCTCATGGTGCTTTGTTGCTGAGATACTGAATTTTTAATCAGTTTTTGTCTACACAGCTTGGATTTCGAGCAAAATTTGACTTTCGAACTTTGATGTTAAACTTGCCACACTTGTAGTCTATGGTCATAGTAGTACGACAGTAAAGTATTCGGTGTTAATATTAAGTTTTCTTGCCGTGAGATATAGAGACTCGAAAATTTCACCAGGTGAGAGTCAAATGTTCGAGTCGATTTATAACCTCGGGTGGTTCCTTCGTCAGGCTAAACTCCATGCGTAAATCTGAAAACTTTTTCACATAGGGAACTCATGCTCTACAAGATTGAGGGATCATACTCTCTTTAGCTTGCATTTTGTGACAGATCCTTCTAAGCCGACTTTTTTGAAGATTCACTTCAAAAGTCAAGATGGGTACAAATAAAGGTCAGCACCAAAAATTACGTATAACTATGTATGTTTCAAGAAAAAAGCGATGATACAGTCGAAAATC